ATTAGCTACTTAACAGAGAGGAGTTTACCATAAAATATGACTGAACAGTGAAACTGCTCAAGACTTTTTTAATGTACATGCAACCTGGCTAGTGTAGCCAAAGCATGGATGTTGGTAGTCAGAATATGAACAATACTGCCTTATATCCATAATGGAAATATATATTTACTAGGAAAAAGGCCCGTTGTGGAAATAAATACAACGACCTCTAGAAAGAGGCTCTGGGCGGGTGCCCCGGCCTTGGACACTCAGTGTCAATTTGCTGTGGCGACCTCAGCAGGGTATAATGACACTGAGTCCACCATTTTCTCCAGAGGAACTGATCTCTGCTACCTAAAGAACAGTTGTAATTTTGAGTGATCTCCAGCCCTCACCCGGAGATTGGCAACAATGGTTCCCCAGAAGGGAATAGTTAGTTTGGAGGGTGGAATCTATGGCTTTGTACCTGTCTGAGGTCTCACGCCTCCTGAAACCTCACCCTCTCCAGGCTCCATCCCTCACATCTCCAGGAATTTCCCACCTGGAGTTGGCAACCCTATCTCCTTCCCAGCCAATCATCAACCTACCTTTATTTCCCCCTCTTCAGCATCTGCAGCCTCTCCCGTGCTCTGAAGCCTTTACTGCTACGTCACATTGGCTGTCATACAGGGGCCACCTCAGCAGCATATAAGGATACAGAGCCCACCATTTTCTCCAGGGGAATTGATCTCTGCCATCTGGAGAGCAATTGTAATTCTGAGGGATCTCCAGCCCTCACCTTGAGATTAGACACATTTTACCTCAGAACAGAAAACTGTTTAGAATGTTAGAGGCAAAAGTCAATCAAGTCGCATATGCAAACGACCCCTGTGTTCCGAGGCAAAGGCCAATGAGGCTGCATATGCAAATAACCTCTGTGTTCTGACTGGCTATGGGGGGGGGAAGGAACAGCAAAATATTTAGAATGTTGGAGGCAGGACTCAGGCAAAGCAGCCAGTGGATAGGGAGACCCTCTGAATGACAGATCAGAGAGTGAACTGATTTTGGAGCGTGTGGAATGTTCTAGAGAAGTGCCACCACCATTCGGCTTTTATTTATAAGGGAGATTATAAAACTAAAACTAGAAATTTATATGGCATTTAAAATGACAGAAAATGTCTAAAAATGGAAACAGGTACAAAAGAAACAGAAAATAAAAACTGCAGGCTGCATGTTTGACACCCCTACTCCATAGTATTCCTCCTTAGTTGATTTTCTTCTAAACTGAATAGTCCCACTCTTCAGCCTTTCCTCATATCACAGAGCGTAGAGCATAGTAAGGCAATTGAAACCAAGAACCTATGAATGATGACTGGAAGCAGTTTATGGATGATTCACACCTATCTAGGTGCAGGAAAGAGGAACATTTTAACAATCAGCAAAACACCTATGGAAGGAATTTATAGCATATGTACAAGGGGCTAGACAAAGGAAGTGTCCACTTTTACCTTGTCATAAACAGGTTTCTGCCAAACAACCTGGTGACACTGCCCTAGCTTCAAATAGAGCTTGGAAAAACTTTTTCAAGTTTAGAATGGCAATTAAAGAAACCACTATAAAACAAAGCAAAAATGTCCTTAAAGTTCACTTTTTTATGTCTGGCTTAAAGACGATTATACATATTTTGCATACATTAAATGAATTTTACCCCATTTCCTATCAGGAAGAAATAGATCTGTATGTCTTAAATGCCTGGAGCATATTATTGTTTAAAAAGAGACAACAATTTAAGCAAACTCATAAAGTAAGATGAAAAACACATGCACAGTTGGGTGCTATGGTTTTAGCCAACTGTGATTAGTAGGCTTACTCTGTCAGTCTTGATATACAGCTCCTACTGGGACTGAAAAGAGCACACTATAAACACTCTTCAGAAAGCCCCAGATTAAGGCTCTGACAGCAGGTGATATATAGAACCATAAAAATTCTGAACACATCTAACTCTTTTATGATAAAAGAACAAAGGTCTGATTAATCTGTTACACAATCATTACAGCTGCTGTGTCAAGACACAGGACAAACAATAGCTGGTTGAGAAAGGTGGCTGAAATGATAGGGTTTTTTTCAAAATTAAGCCATATATTTTACATTTTGACTGGGGATACTTCTTTTTTGTAATGGGCCAAATTATTCTTGACATCCCCCATTTCGTCTTTAAACAAATGAAGAAGTCTTATGGTAGCCCTTTTCAGTCATTATGGTTCTGGCACTCCTAACTAGCATACTGGTAGAGCATGCTATCTGTGACCCCCTCTATATTCATGATTGCCATTGGGTATGGCTAGGACAATGCCTGTACTTTAAAGCTTTGACACACACAAACACATATCAACAATAAACCTAGGTTTCCAATCACATGCCCTATTCACACAAAATAGTAATATTATGTTCTTCACTCTCCTGGTATGCAATGTGAGAGTGCCAAAACTGTAATGAGTGAAAGTGGCTACTGAGTCATACCATTGGTCTATCTAGGCCAGTATTGTCTATTCTGACAGGTAGTGGCTCTACAGGGTCTCAAGTAAAGGTCTTTCACATCACCCACAACTTGATCACTTTTAGCTGGAAATGCCAGGGCTTGAACCTGGAATTTTTTTTTGCACACAAAACAGATGCTTTAAAACTATGCCTCATCCCATTGCTACACTGAACATGTACTTTTAGGAGTATTTGCCGCTTTTTCAGGCCTTTCACCATCTTTGAATCATCATGTATGCGGTTACATATACAGCGTTAATTCTAAGGCTGGTATAAAAGAAAATAAACAATAAAATACAGTTACACAGTTAAGAACATAAGAGCAACCATGCTGTGTCAGACCAATGGTCCATCAAGTACAGCTTCATGTTTCACACAGTGGCTAATCAGATACCCCTGGAAGGCCTACAAGCAGCATGCAGAGGTAAAAGCTTCCTTCCATTCCTGTTCCCCATTAAGTTGTTTACTACTTCTGAACATGGAGTTCTATTTAGTCATTATAGCTAACAGGCATTAATGGACTTACCTTCCATAAATTTGTCTGATTCCTTTTAAAGCCAACTAAACTAAGTGTTTTGACTGTATATGAACCTTGGCACACTGATTCCTTTTAAAGCCAACTAAACTAAGTGTTTTGACTGTATATGAACCTTGGCACACTGTGCCAGGCAATGTGAGAAGCCCTGAGCCCGCTTGCGGGGAGGGTGGGTTATAAATACAACAAACAAATGTCCGAAGACATCTCCGTGGTCATGTGGCCGGCATGACTAAACACCAAGGTGCACGGAACGCTGTTACCTTCCCACCGAAGTAGTACCTATTTATCTACTTGCAATTTCTTGCTTTCGAACTGCTAGGTTGGCAGGAGCTGGAACCAGAGACGGGAGCTCACTCCGTCATGCGGCACACTCGGGTCTCGAACTCCTGAACTACCAGCCTTTCACAGCCTGCAGTTCAGCATCTTAACCACTTGAGCCACCGCAGCTCCTTCCGTCCAATGAAAGTGGGACTCTAATAATAATATTACTCTTATGAAAGCATATTTCAAATATTTCTAACTTAGCTTTGCAAATGATTGCCTTGACTTGAACAGTAGTTATTCATGACATGCAATATGCTTTCCCAAGGGCTTAAAAATGGGCTTAGGGTCGCCAGCCTCCAGGTGGCATCTGGAGATCTTCTGCTATTACAGTTGCTGTCCAGTCGACCAGGATCAGTTCCCCTGGTGAAAACGGCTGCTTTGTAAGGTGGACTCTATGCCATTATACCTGCTCTTCCCCAACCTCACCCTCTCCAGGCTCTACCCCTCCAATCTCCAGGTACTTCCCTGCCCAGGGCTGGGAACCCTAGCTTACAGGGTCATCCTAGGGGACCTACCTCAGCCCAGCCATTTATGAAAGCAGTTGAAAAAACTTATCATGAATATATGAATACATTCAGATCCTGACTGAGGTGCTGGGATCCTAGCCAAGAGCACTAAGTACACATTTTAGTCTCATGTTCTTTGTACCATGAGAATTAGACACTTGTTTGTTTGTTTTTAAAGGAAACTCAATATATAGAGCTGAGTAAAAAGGTAAAGGTTCCCTTGCTCGAAAGCCAGTCGAATCCGACTCTAGGGTTGCGGTGCTCATCTCTGTCTCAACGTCGAAGAGCCAGCGCTGTCCGAAGACGTTTCCGTGGTCATGTGGCCGGCATGACTAAACACCAAGGCGCACAGAACGCTGTTACCTTCCCACCGAAGTGGTACCTATTTATCTACTTGCAATTTCTTGCTTTTGAACTGCTAGGTTGGCAGGAGCTGGAACTAGAGACGAGAGCTCACTCCGTCTTGCGGCACCTGAGTCTCGAACTGCTGAACTACTGACCTTCCACAGCCTGCAGTTCAGCGTCTTTACCACTTGAGCCACCGCAGCTCCTATAGAGCTGAGTACTTGAATTTAAAAAGTGATGTTATTCCATATTCCAGCATGAATTCACCCCATGTTAACGCTCCTCTTCATCCCCTCCTTCTGCTGCCTGCTTACCCTGTCTTGAATTTTATACTGCAAGGCAGAAATCTCTCTTTCGTGTTTATTCTGGGAATGAATATTAACAGCACTAATGATGCAGATTTGCAGTCTGCCACATTCCTTGGTCTGTAATACTGAACGGCCAAGTGACAGAGGCAGCTGTCCCAGACTGACTCACTCAGGGGTGTCCTTGTGCTATGGACTCCATAAAAATCTGCAGGGTGCTGCCTGTGCTGTACCAGCTAGAATATGCCAGGTGTGGAATACTGCACACATCCATGCATAAAGATATATACCAGAAGACAATAGAGAGACCTTCAGTGTGTTCATTTCAACAAGAAAATAGTGGGGAAAATATGATGGATATTTAAGCCTATTCATTTTTTCCCGATTGAATTTTGAATGCCGGATTTTCATTTTGAAAAGCAAACAAAAACGACTCCGTATTGTGTTCAATATAACAGCATCCATTTGAAATTCCAATTTTTGCAGCTTTACTCTGCTCGAGTACAAAGCAAGGCAGACCTGCTACCCCACCAAGAAAACAAAGATCAAAGCAGAGGAAATTTTGCAGACAATGCACTCCCTCACTGCGGGATTTCTTCTCTACTCAGAGGAGAACCAGGAGATTATCCTGCCAAACCCAACTAAGGTAAAAACATAATTACTGTTAGCAATAAGCAAGCCTATTGTTGTGTCAAGGCATCTCTTACATGTATATTTATAAGGAAGTGGTGTTTGAACACATGAAGCTGCCTTATACTGAATCAGACCATTGGTCCATCAAGTGCAGTATTGTCTATTCAAGGGGCAGCAGCTCACCAGAGTCTCAGGTAGAGTTCTTTCACATGACCTACTGCCTGGTACTGTTAACTGTAGATGCCACCTCTTAGGTGAGTTGCAGGGTCTAAGATTCAGTCATTATAGGGATAATCTGTTCTTTCCCTTGTGGGCTATTGTTTAGCCTGACCCAGAAGGAACCTGGCACAGAGCCAATGGAAAGATAGCCCGGGAAAACTGAAGTCTGTTTTGTAACATTGATTGGTTAATGCAATCAGGTAACTTCCTTCTAGGGGTCAACAGCAAGAAGAATCTCCATCGTTGTGTGACCATGTGGTCTGTCTGTTTGTAGCTGTAAAGATGTGAAGATATAGTTCTAGGTATCTCTTTTATTTTGTAGGTTTCCTATGTACCCTTTTCACTTAGAAATAAAGATTTTTACACAGTGAAGCAAAGATCCATTGCAAACTCTGAATATCTAAGCATATTTCACAACATTAGGTACTTAATATTTTCTATCAACAAATAAGTACATTTCTTCTATCTTTAATCTATAGGGTCTTTTGCCCACAAGGATTTCTCCCCATGTTTTCCCCCCCCCCATTATTTATCACCTGCCTTCCTCACAGGGACTCAAGGCAAATTACACTTAGTGAGTCAGGACAATCAATAAACAATGCATTATGACTGTAGAAGTCTGGAACCCCCAGAAAGAACTGAAGCATAACATAAGTATTAACAGGACACATTAAGCAGTGCAAAAATTACATAACACAGGATCCTACTTACAGTAAGTTATACACAACAGTATAGACCACAGTTCCTAATCATATATTCAGAAAAGTCTGTAAACCATTTTGTACAGCACAACCCTATTACCTGTGCAGAAAAGCCCTGTTGAATAATTCAGTTGCCCCTCCACTCAGAATAACGAGACAGACAACAGTTTGGAAGTAAACAAGGGCCACTTTATTAACAATTTAACATAACATTGTGGCAAGGGACCAGCTAAGCAAGCACGGAACAGGCAAGGCAGGCCCATTTCATGGGTGGATCACCCAGCTCCAGTCTTGAGCCAGCGGTCTGGCTTGCGACTGGCAGCCCAGCCAAACTGGTTGCCACCTAGGAGCGCCTACCCCTGAAGCCTTACAACTTGCAGAGAGGAGCCTTACCCTAAGAGGTTCCCAGAGGTGATCACCATTCCCCACCCTGGACCCTAAAATCCAAAGGCAGTTCCTGATGACCCCCTGTTCCCTAACGGGAAATTGCCGTAAGGTGCTCACCGGTTCCGGTTTCTTGCCCACACAAACCTGCCAAGTGACCAACCTATTTAGGTGTCAATCACCACAACCAACCATTCAATCCACTACTCTCAGTGCAAGGTAGGCCAAAACACCTCCCCCCCTTTCAGCCAATCCTGGGTAGAGGTGAAAAATTCCTACCTGGCCCCAGTCAGTGGCCAGCAACAGCCTACACTAAGAACAGAAAAGTCTGTAAACCATTTTGTACAGCACAACCCTATTACCTGTGCAGAAAAGCCCTGTTGAATAATTCAGTTGCCCCTCCACTCAGAATAACGAGACAGATAACAGTTTGGAAATAAACAAGGGCCACTTTATTAACTATTTAACATAACATTGCAGCAAGGGACCAACTAAGTGAGCATGGAACAGGCAAGGCAGGCGTCACTCCCCTGGCCAACCTCCTTGCCCTTTCCACAGGCGGGTCACCCAGCTCCGGTCTTGAGCCAGTGATCTGGCTTGCGACTGGCAGCCCAGAAAACTGCTTGCCACCGAGGAGTGCCTACCCTAAGCCTTACAACTTGCAGAGAGGAGCCTTACCCTAAGAGGTTCCCAGAGGTGATCACCGTTCCCCACCCTGGACCCTAAAATCCGAAGGCAGTTCCTGATAAGCCCCTTTCCCCTAATGGGAAATTGCTGTAAGGTGCTCACCAGTTCCGGTTTCTTACCCGCACAAACCTGCCAATGGCAAGGACAATCCTCTGCTTTGGCCTTTGCTCCCAACTAACAGCCCAAGGCGGACCTAATCCCTTGCCGCAAGTCCTGCAAAAATAACCCATTGCCCTTGTCTGACAGATGCACCCAGTCAGCCTTATACAGGTCCTGGAACTCAACCCGTATGTCGGGGTGTGGCAAAAATTGCCCTAAACTACCCTCCATGGCCTTCCTCATCTGGTGGTTGGCCTTACGCCCGACACAGTTGATGCAGCAAGGGTCCCCAAAATATCGCCATGCCTGGTGGGGCAGAATAGTTGACCAGACTATATACATACTGGGCCACCTTGCTCATATCATCGCAAGGTCAGCTTCAGCTTGTAAGACCAGGGCTTTGCCCTTCATTAGACCTAGGTTGTTACCCCCTAGGTGCGCCACCTGAACGTTTGGAGGAGGCCCCGCCTCTCCTCGAATAACAGGGGAAGTAGTGCAGGCCATCTTATGCCCCTCCTTCCCATCCATTTGACAACAGCCCAGTCACTAAGGCCCAGTTGAGAACCGATGGGTGTCCTCCTGGCCCGGTGAGCAGCCCAAAAGACCAAGCTGTGGCCGCAGATGGTGACTCTTTGTCTCGCCCCACAGCCCATAGCACATGTAAGAGGAACCCCATTAATAACCTACACATAACATTAAACCATTATTTGGGGGACCCTTGCTGCATTAAACCTTGCAATCCTGCACATATCCCCTGTAACAACATGATTTCCAGTGCCCTGTCTGCTGAATCTTGCTAGTGGAATACCCCATGGCTGCCGCCATTGAAGCCGCCCCAATCCGGAAGGAGTGTGGACCAGTGCTTTCAGTGTTTGGGCTCAAAATCGGGGACGGGTGCGCACCGCTTCCCAGATGTCGCGGTGAGATCGTGCCCGTTTGCTGCGGCCCCGATCCATCCCTCTCCCGGGCCAAACCCTTACATGTGACCGGGGCCTCTGTTTCTTATTTCTTTCCTTTCTCTCTGTAGTACTTTTCTATGAAACTAATAAAAGCGTTTATTGGGGGGGGGAAAGTTTTATTGCTTGTGATTTCCATTGAGAATGAGCCCAAATCATTTATGTCTTGAATATGATTTGCCCTCTCTTGCCTATAAAACAAGGGACCCATTCGCCTACATATGTTACAGTTGACAAGAAGGATCTGTTGGGCAAGAGGTACAATCACTAAAAAAGAAAAATCATTGCAATTGGATGGACAAGAAAAATCTTAGCTGGAAATGTGCTTCTACTTGAAACCATCAGAAAATGAAACTGGATTAATATATAACATGACAAGAACATCAACAAATAATATTTGCATACACATGTCCTACTGTTAATCTCTAGCACCTGAGAGATGTATATTGTGAATGTACCTGGATAGTTGCCCTTTTGTTCTCAGGGCTGACATCGAAGTGTTGATAAAACTCTTCTCTATGTAAGTGCTCTGTTGCTGCAACAGAGTTATGGCGACTCCAGCAAGGGCTTTCAAGGCAAGTGAGAAGAAGAGGTGGTTTGCCATTGCCTTCCAACGTAGAGTTTTCCTTGGGGGTCTCCCATCCAAGTACTGACCCTGCTTAGTTTCTGAGTTCAGATGAGATCAGGCTGTAGTAGTATGACATCTTCCATCCCAATGAAACACTTAGCAGCTGTTAAAACATGCAGGGACAAATTCCAGAAGGTTAATTAGGCACTATGTCCTTATTTGACTTTATTTCTTCTCACTACCACTATGAGCTGTTCTAGGAGCTGGAACAGGTATTATGTTTTCTTCCTTAAATCAGTCTTGCTTCATTTGCATTCAAATTGCTAATAAGTGGCTTTGAAGCATAACTAATGCTACAAGCACCTTTTGTATTAATTCTTACTACATTTCCTTCATCTTATTTAGAAAATAGAACCTGTAATTAGCAATTCAATCCAAAACAGAGTTACACCTTTTATTAAAGTTCAATGCAGGTTTCTCATGTAATCTTTACAACATCCTTGTAAAGTAGACCAACACATATTAATGTACTACTGCTTTTCTTTTCCAGATTCACCTTATGATGCCAGTTGTGGAGAATGCTTACCAGTCAGCACAATGCTGGCATGAAATCCAATGCAAAAATGAACCAAAGTGTTGTGATTGCTGCCTTTCTCTTAATTGCAATGTATTGGTAGTACACGGCACTGTTTTGAAATGGCAGCCAGAAAGCATGGCAGCACAAGAGTCTCACAAATTGAAAAGATCCAGGGAAAGGTCCCTGGTCCCATCTCCCAAAATGTGTGATAAACTTCTAATGTATTTCGCAAAGTAAAACAGCTGCTTGTTAGAGAAAGCCAGTTCTATTTTGAAAACAAATAAAGTTGAAATATAATGTAGAGCACTTCTTGTGAATGATTATGTGGAATCAGTCTGCATAAAATTTCCTGTTCCATTTGAAGACTGCAGCAACATTTGTGGCAAATTGGGTCCTAAAAATGCTATTGATACTACTGGTGTTTTTAGATTATGCCTACTGAATCCCAGTTTACAAGCATTTTCAGACAGATTATTGGCAGTAGAGATATCTTAGTTGTACTGTTAATCTGTACATTACATGTTTATGCTGCTCCTTATCCAATTTATGATTTTTTATTCCCAGTTCTATCCTCAGTAGGTTGAGTGAGAATGACTGGCCCAAGGTAACATTTGATTTCAAGAGAGGGAAATTCACAAAAATGAGGGAGATAGCAAAAAGGAAGGTGAAACAGAAACATAAGAGAGTCAAATCCCTGGAGGGTACTTGGAAAGTATTCAAAACCACATTAATTTAAGCCCAGACAGAACGCATTCCAAGTATAAAAGAAGGCCTGCATAGCTAACAACACAAGTTAAGGAAGCTATAAAAAGTAAAGAGGCTTCTTTTAAAATTGGAAGATCTGTTCCAATGAATTGAACAGGAGAGACTACCAGCTACAGCAAAATAAATATAAGTCAATAGTTAGGCATACAAAAAGGGAATTAGAAAAGCAGGTTGCTAAAAGCATCAAGACAAATAATATTTAAATATATCTGAAGCAGGAGAGCAACCAGAGAAACAGTTGGGCCCTTAAGGGATTGTTAAGGGGAGATGGCAGAGATGCTTCTGTGTTCACTGTGGAAAGTGTGGGGCACATACTCATACCACAGCCCCTATTTTCAGAAAGGGAGTCTGAAGAACTGAGTCAAACTGAGGTCACCAGAGATGAGCTTCTAGGCCTATTGGGGAAATTGAAAACCGGTAAGTCTCTAGGTCCTGATGGCATATACCCAGGAGTTCTTAGGGAACTCAAATGTGAGATAGGTTACATATATGGGTTAGTAGATCAACTATCACTAAATTCAGCCACCGTACCAGAAGACTGGAGAGTAGCAAATGTTACACCATTTTTAAAAAGATGTCCAGAGAGGAACCAGGAAATGACAGGCCAGTCAGTCTAATGTTTGTCCCAAGCAAATTAGTAGAAACTGTAATCAAAGATAGAATTGTTAGGCACACAAATCCTGCTGAAGGAAAATCAGCATGGCTTCTGCAAAGGCTCCTGGCTCATCAGCCTTTTGGAGTTCTTTGAGAAAGTGAATAAGCATGTAGACAACAGTGACCCAGTAGTCATTACATACCTGGACTTTCAAAAGACTTTTGACAAGGTACGTCACCAAAGACTCCTGAGTAAACTCAGCAGTCATGGGATAAGAGAACAGGTTTTCTTATGGATTAAAACCTGGTTAAATAACAGGAAGCAAAGAGTAGGAATAAATGGACAGTTCTCACAATGGAGGGAAGTAAGCGGTGGGGTCTCACAAAGATCAGTACTGGGGTAAGTACTATTTATTTATAAATGGTCTGGAGCTAGGGGTGAGCAGTGTAGTAGCAAAGTTTACAGATGACACAAGATTATTTAGGATACTGAAAACCATGGCTGACTGTGAAGAGGTCCAGGCACATCTGTGCAAACAGGATGAGTGGGCAAAAATGTGGCAAATAAAGTTCAGTGTTGGTAAATGTAAGGTGATGTGCATTGGGACAAAAAAAATCCCAACTTCAAATATAAGCTAATGGGGTCTGAACTTGTTGAAACTGAGAGGGGAAAAGTTAGTAGACAGCTCAATGAAAGTGTCAACCTAGTGTGCTGCAATGGTGAAAAAGGCCAACCCCGTGTTTGGGATTATTAGGAAGGTGATTGAAAATAAAACAGCCAATATTATAATGCTCCTGTATCTATGGTGCAGACTCTTTTGGAATACTGTGTACAGTTTTGGTACACTGCAAAGCTGGAAAAAGTACAGAAGAGGGCAACCAAGATGATTAGGGGATTCCCTAAGAGTAAAGCTGAAGAGCCTGGAACTTTTCAGTTTAGAAGAGAGATGACTTGGGGGTGGGGGAGAGAGACACATGATTGAGGTTTATACAATTATGCATGAGGTGGAGAGAGTTGACAAAGAGAACTTTTTCTCCTTCTCCCAAAATACTGTAACTCGAGGGCATCCAATGAACCTGATGGGCAGTAGACTCAGGATGGACAAATGGAAATCTTTACATTGTTGAAACTGAGAGGGGAAAAGTTAGTAGACAGCTCAATGAAAGTGTCAACCTAGTGTGCTGCAATGGTGAAAAAGGCCAACCCCGTGTTTGGGATTATTAGGAAGGTGATTGAAAATAAAACAGCCAATATTATAATGCTCCTGTATCTATGGTGCAGACTCTTTTGGAATACTGTGTACAGTTTTGGTACACTGCAAAGCTGGAAAAAGTACAGAAGAGGGCAACCAAGATGATTAGGGGATTCCCTAAGAGTAAAGCTGAAGAGCCTGGAACTTTTCAGTTTAGAAGAGAGATGACTTGGGGGTGGGGGAGAGAGACACATGATTGAGGTTTATACAATTATGCATGAGGTGGAGAGAGTTGACAAAGAGAACTTTTTCTCCTTCTCCCAAAATACTGTAACTCGAGGGCATCCAATGAACCTGATGGGCAGTAGACTCAGGATGGACAAATGGAAATCTTTACACAGTGAATGATTAAAATGTTGAATTCACTGCCACAGTACGTAGCTATAGCCACAGGCATAGACAGCTTTGAAAGGAGATTAGATAGATTCATGGAGGAACCTCTGAGTTCAGAGGCAGCCATCCTTTGAATTCCAGAGTTAGGAGCTAACATCAGAGCAAGGGCTCGGCCTCTATGCCCTGTTGTTGGCCCTCCAGAGGAACTGGTTGGCCACTGTGTGAGACTGGGTGCTGGACTAGGTGGACCACTGGTCCAATCCAGCAGGGCTCCTCTTATGTTCTTATGTCACCCAGTGAGCTTCAAGATGGATGAAGAATTTGAATGGATCTTCTAGAGAGTCCTTGTCTGACTCGGAAGCCAAGCTGGCTGCCTGGTAATAGCATTTAATATGCCATTAGACTGAGTCATATAAAAAACAGTGTTTACTTTTAAGACCTTCTCAAATTGTTCACAACGATTGCTGGAAGTGTACGCCAATACTGAGGAAATTTTCTCCTTTCCATATATTATTTATGGATTTTTCCCCCCTAACAGTATCAGAAAATTGGTGTTCTAAAATGGAAGGGCCGCATTATTCTCCCTAATAAGCTTAGCAGCTTTCCACCTAACTTAAGCTTCAACTTTCACTTTCAGAATATTTCATTTCAACTATCACTACTTGAAATTGCTTCCAGTGTCCCAGGTCCTCAACTTGTTATATGAAGAGTATTTCGTTAAAACTGGTGTTTTCTCAAGTACTGCTAATGACAAGAAATGGCATCCCCGATCCCCAGAGAACAAACGGTCAGGTTCAGAAGGTCCATAAAGGCAGACTTTGGAGCAGGGAAGGGGCCTGAGTCTTTGAACAAGCAGCAGGCCAGCATTGTGGACACTGACTGATTCTTGGTTGGAGTCACATTCACAGTTTTTCCTGTTTTCATGCTTAGCTTGACTTTCCTTGAATTCAAATCAATGTATTTCATTCTCTGTGATAAACACCATGCAAATGAAAAAGTGCTAATATGTATAATCTGAATGTTAAGCATTTGAGTCTAAAATGGTAAAAATGTGGGTTCTATTGATATTTTGAAAAACAATGATATTAAAAGCAAGGGTTTAATTAGAAATGTGAACAACTTGTTTACTGGTTTTTCTAATTTTGCTGAAAGTATCAAGAAATATGGGCTGCAGCACTGGAGGCTTGCTGCGATCTGGGTGCGCCTCTAATTGCACTGATTTAAAGGTGGAGATCAACGAGACAGCAAACCCTGGGGCAGTTTCCCCGTGCACTCATTACTACAGCACCTCCTTACATTACTACAGCACCTCAGCCATGGAGTGCGCTGCCCGATCAGGGTTTTTTTTTTAAATGCAGGCGGGTGCATGTGCATATGGCAGGAGAGTTCAGACATCTGGGAAAGCAGAGTAGAAGAGCTGGCATCTGTTAATACTGGACGGTCCCCAGTGCCTGATTACTCCGCTTCCAAAGCGTGGCAACACAGGGTACCGATAACTGTGGTACGGAAGGCAGATGTTGTCATCCTATCCTGCTGTTTAAATCTGCAAAGGTAATGCTACTATATCATGGCAAACTGCTTGTGTGACCACAGCGGTGAGAAAGAGGAGAGAAACAACACAATAACATCAGGATCTTTAGCCCCACTTTTTTCTAACTTCCTTTGTATGCTTGTAGGAACAAAAATTCCATTGGGATAATGTGATAGTCCTTGGTGGTTCAGTACATGGATACATGATTAACAATTAGTTCAGCTCATATCATGATAGGCTGTTTTTATCTCAAATGTTTTTGATTGTTTAGTCACAGCTGCTAGGTCCCAAATACCAGCATTCCATCTGGCAGTGCTGCTGCTGCTCCAATTAAAAAGGTATATTGTTAAAGGGAAAAGAAAATCATGTATATTTTGTGCTGAGACTTACTCCATTAATCTGGTTCTAGATCCAGATACATCTACACATTCGTAGTCTTGCATGGCCTCATGGGAGTTGTAGCTTATTTCCTTTCCCCAGATCTGTTGGGGGGGAAACTTTTAAAAACTACTTAAAGAGATGCATCTCATACGTTTTTGCAGTACAGTGTCCCTTGCATAGAGAACAAAAAGAAAAGGCAGGAAAGACCAGACTGAGTCATGACCCGGTAGTACAAGCAGCTATTGTGCAGTTGCAATCAAGGTTGCCAACTCCAGGTTCAGAAATATCTGGAGATTTGGCGGCGATGCCTGGGGAGGACAGAGTTTGGGAAGGAGAAGGAGCTAGCAGGGATATGATGCTCTGAAGTCCACCCTCTGACACTGCCATCTCCTCTATGAGAACTGACCCCTGCAGTCTGCAGATCAATTATAATTTTGTGGAAATTCTGGGCCCCACCTGGAGGTTGGCAATGTTATCTGGCACAGTCTTCAAGCTGGACATTAAGCAACAATATTAAGACAAACAACTCTAGGATTCAATTTGTGTGTAAGCATGAAGTTCAATCAAAGTAAGTTTGATTTCACACTAAAGTTCTTACCGTCCTGGTCAAATCCATTACCGACCTTTTGATATACAAACAGCATCTCTCTGGGAACTAATAAATAATGGCAGGAATACCCAACTGTAGGTATATCTCTTGACTCCCAAAACAAGAGTGAGGATCCTGGGCCACACTTCAGTTTACGAATCTTGGGGTCTAAAATCTGAGGTACTTGGTGGATTTATTGAACACTTCCTAACACTTGATGGCAATAGCTTAAACAGTAAAATCAATGTAATATACTCTTAGGACTCATAAAATAATTAGATTTAATTTGAACAGAATATGAGTTTAATAGACATTTAAGACGCCCATTATCTTGTAATACAGGGTTCACAATGCTGCTACCACGATTTTGGGAAGATGTAGAGTGCTGGAAGGTTTTCCCTCCTCCCATTAGAATTCTGGAAAAAATCTGAGGATTATAAGGTTCTAAATGCCAAACTAAACATAATTTGGAAGATGCACAATAGATCTACCATTTTAAAACTATGCTCAATGCAGTTAATGGGAACAAACACATCTGATGAGAAATGCAGAAGTGGACTGGCCATGCCATTTTCTCCAAGCAAATTCCCCTTCCCCTTAAAATCTGAGAGAATTATGACTGGAGAAATGGTGCAGGGAAAGGAAAGTGGCTTTCTCTTTGCCCATGCCATGGACCAAAGCTAGACTTTCTCCCCAATGGGGCTTTACTTATGTTTTTTAAACCACAGAAGATCCAGTCATAGATGGGTGGTGGGAGATGGGAAGAGGAAGGAGGAGTTTGGTTTATATCCCATCCTTAGGGTTCCCAGGTGCCTTCCTCCTGCCAGCAGAAAGATTTGGAGAGTGTTCCAGGGGTGGGTGGGGACATCAGTGATGTGCTGAGGTCACTTCCAGAAGTGACATCATTGCATCAGCAGTGTCAGGGCAATGCTCTACTATTTTGGCAAAACTCTATGGTAAAAATGGCTACAAACCATAGAGTTTTGCCCAAAAAGTAGAGCATTGCCCCTGATTTCACCAACATGATGACATCACTTCCAGAAGTCGCCAATGTCATTTGGGGACGTCTGTTTGGGGGTGGGGTTTCCCTTGCCAGTAGAGCCCACAAAATCAGGGGATCCCCGCCCCCACCTGGGGACAGGCAAGCCTACCTGCCCTTCACTCAGAGTCTCAGAGTGGCTTACAATAATCTTCCTCTCCCCACAACAGACACCCTGTGAGGTAGGTGGGGCTGAGAGATCTCTGAGAGAACTGCTTTTGAGAGAACAGCTCTAATAGAATTGTAACTTACCCAAGGTCACCCAGCTGGCTGTGTGTGGAGGAGTGGAGAATCAAACCTGGTTCTCCAAATTAGAGTCCACCGCTCTTAACCATTACACCAAACTGGCTCTTACACCAAACTGGTGTGAACTCTAGATACTGTGATGGTGGAGATTACCATTATATGGTTGTTTCAGAAATAAAACAGATTTATTTTCATGACTTCTCAAATATGTACATATTTGTGGATAGCAATCTCCTCCATTATATCCTCATCACAACAACTCTGTGAAGCAGGTTAGGCTGAGAAATTAGTGACTAGCCCAAGATCACCCAGTAAGCTTTCAAAACAGAGTAGAGATTTGAATCTGGGTGTCCCAGATTCTGTGTCTCACACAGTGGCCAAATCCCAGGTGTCATCAGGAGGTCCACCAGTGGGGCCAGAACCCCAGAAGCCCTCCCACTTTTGCTCCCCAAGCACTAGGAATACAGAGCCTCACTGCCCAGACATAGTGATCCATCTATACCTTGTGGTTAATACCCATTGATGGAACTCTGTTCCATATGTTTATCCAATCCATCGTGAAGCTGTTTATGCTTGTAGCTGCCACCACTTTCTGCAGCAGTGAATTTCATGTGTTAATTACTCTTAGGGTGAAGACGTACTTCCTTTTAACTGTTCTAAGCTTACTGCTCATTAATTTCATTGAGCGTCCACGAGTTCTTGTACTGTGAGAAAGGAAGAAAAGTATTTCTTTCTATACAGGAGCTGCGGTGGCTCAAGTGGTTAAGACACTGAACTGCAGGCTGTGGAAGGTCAGTAGTTCAGCGGTTCAAGACCCGGGTGCCGCAAGACAGGGTGAGCTCCTGTCTCTAGTTCCAGCTCCTGCCAACCTAGCAGTTCGAAAGCAAGAAATTGCAAGTAGATAAATAGGTACCACTTCGGTGGGAAGGTAACAGCGTTCCGTGCACCTTGGTGTTTAGTCATGCCGGCCACATGACCACGGAAACGTCTTCGGACAGCGCTGGCTCTTTGGCTTTGAAACGGAGATGAGCACCGCAACCCTAGAGTCGGATTCGACTGGCTTTCGAGCAAGGGAACCTTTACCTTTACCTTTACTTTCTCTATCCCATGCATAATGTCACCCCCTCAAGTTGTATAGGGGTTAAGGATTCCTTCAGCTTCTTGTTACCGCAAGGAACTTTGTACATGCTCTGAGGAACCTGCTACAGCCTAGGTAATGTGTGTTTATCTTAGCTAGTTTAATGACATTGCTTTTAATTTTAACCTCTCCGTGCTGTTGTTGCTTCGTGCCTTTCTCTCTATTGTATTTTTCCCCATCCTCCTGCTTTTGGAATCCAGCCACTCCCCCCCTCTCTTTTATAAGGAACCTTTAAAAAAATATCTTCTTTTTTTTTGGCTTCACTTAGTACATTTTATTTTTATGGGATATTTCTTTTACTGTCTTCCCCCATCTGCACAGGTGCTACCAGGTATAAGGTTTTTTCTAGGGTTAGAAGCAAACAAGAGATAGCTACTCTGGTGAAGACAGCAAACCAACTAGAAAATAAATCTGAGGAGGTGGGTCAGCAAATACAAGAGATAAAAACCAAGCAAGAATTGATAGAAGATACAATTATAAGATTGGAGATTTAAAAAGCAGCATATATTTTGAGATTTCAGAACATTCCTGAAAAAAAGGATGAAGATGTCAAAGCAGATATGGCACACATTTTAGCAGATTATATGGAAGAAGAAAATGCACAATAAATATTTGGAGAGATTGATGTGGTGTTCAGAATGAACTTTGCATATGCAAGAAGAAATAAAGTACCCAGGGAAATACACGTAATATTTCACAAGAGAACCATACGTGATACTATTCTAAAAACTTCAAATGAGAAACCTCTTCAAATACAGGGAACTGAAATCAGAATACTAAAGGAAGTTCCATGGAGGGTGAGAGAGAAAAGGCAAGAGTACACACAATTTACAAGCCTTTTAAGGAAAAACAGAATACCTTACAGATGGCTGCTCCCTGAGGGTGTTTTTTCATGCATAAAGGTAAAAGACATAGAATAAACTCAACATTTAAAGCAGATGATTTCTTAAAGATATATGGATAAGACTTAGGAGCCCAAGGAGAAGAAGAAGATTCAAAGGATTCAGATGAGGAATCTCAGGAACAAGGTGCATTAGGACCCAAAAAAGAGACTGGTAAGAAAAAACCCAAGACAGTTCCATTTCAACTTGTTACGAGATTGCAGGATAAGAAAAAAAAAAGGAAGCAAAAAAGATTTGAAAGATGGATAGAACGAAACTAAAAGTAATCTCTATAAATGTTAATGGATGCAGTTAGATGTTATTTGCCTACAGGAAACTCATATTAAACACCCAGACCAGAAGTTTTTAGAAGTAAAAAAGTTTGGGGAAACCTTTTGTCAGCGGATAGGGGTGGGGGGGGTAGTTACATACGTCCAGGACTATCTGCATCCAGAACTGTTATATGATTCAGAAGATGGAAGAGTATTGATAGTGAAAATACAGAGGCAAGCTAAAATGACAGTCAATATATATGCGCCAAATCAGGAACAGGAGAAATTTTATAAATCATTACAGAAGAGTCTTTCAAAACAAATGTATGAAGAAATTTGTATAATTGGAGACTACAATGCTATATTTGATAGAGCCTTGGACAGGAGAAAGCAAACAGGGAAACAGAAGCAAGGAAATGAACTCCCAAATACTTTTTTACGATTGGCAGAAGAATTTAGTTTGGTGGACTCATGGAGAATCAGAAACATAAACAAATTAGACTTTATGTTTTTCTCAGCAAGTCACAAATCTTCCTCAAGGTTAGATATGACTTGGATCTCAACAACAATAATAAATGATATAGTAGATGTAGAGGTTTTACCATCAACATTTGCGGACCTGACAGCCCTTTAGTTCTGACATTACAAGATATTAAAAAAACCCAAAAACTAGATGGACCATGAATTTATGCCAAGTCATACAAACACACATGCTGCCTACTGGAAGGCACAGAAGGCTGAAAAGAAACCGAGAACCGAATGGAAACTCCACTGGCTTTTGCAGTTAGGATTATCCTTAACAAACAGTATAAAAAGCTGGGGTGGGGTGTATCTAAACCACACATTGTCTATGAAAGCGTGATCCCTTCAGGTCCTCATGGCACAGCTCTGAGAGGCTGAAAAGCCTCCTAGTTCCTTGCATGATGATTGGGCTTTCCCTGCACACAAATGGTGTCAGGTTACTAATGACACACAGAAAGAGCCGGAGACTGCTGCACTTTCACAACCTGGAGGGCAAAAGACTCCTGATCTCCCATGCACTTTAGATCAGCCACCATCGGGGCTGGACGGTGGTGAGAAGGACTTGCGCACTCCTTGCCAAGTGGTGGTAAATGGGGGTGGAGAAAGGCAGCAGCTCCCTCAGTAACAGGACGGGACACACACACACACCGGCTCTTGCTTGCTTCCCCGCACGCGCACCCACCAATGGGAAACCGAGGCAACACATCCACGTGTATTGAAACCGGGCAGAGAGAGAGACAAACAAACAGAGGAACAGACACACATACAGAGAGAGGGAGAGAGAGAACAGAGAGGGACAGAGAGAGACTGGGTGTCCTCCGATGTCTTGAAAGCAGTCGCCACCAGCCCACCGGCCTCACCAGAGACCCCCCACTGCCTCAAAAACAGTCCCCACCAGCCTGCCGGCCTCTCCACCGCCCACCGCCCCGAAAGCAGTCGGCGCTAGCTCGCTGGCCTCATTAGAGCCTCAGGCTTGCTGCAGCCAGCCTGGGTGGTCTCTGAGGGCCCCAACCACCACCCAAAAAACAGTCCCTGCCAGCCCGCTGGCCTCTCCACCACCACCACCCTGAAAGCAGTCAGCACCAGCCCACTGGCCTCATCAGAGCCACAGGCTAGCCATGGCCAGCCTGGGTGCTCTCTGAAGCCCCCCCCGCTGCCGCCACTGCCCAAACACAGTCCCTACCAGCCCGACGGCCTCTCTGCCACACCCCCGCCCTGAAAGCAGTCACCTCTGGCCTCATTAGAGCCCCAGGCTTGCCGTGGCCAGCCTGGGTGCTCTCTGAAGCCCCTCGCCACCCCAAAAGCAGTCCCCGCCAACCCGCCGGCCTCCTTGCCACCACCCCCACCACCCCGACAGCACACCCTGCCACCCAGCCCAGAGCAGCCCGGAGCTTCCTTACCTTCCTGGCTGAAGCAACACATGCTGGCTCCGGAAGAAAGAGGAAGCCCAACTGAGGGCTGCTGGGAGCTGGGCATGGCTAACTCAGAAGCCAGCAGGAAAGCCGTTCCAGTTCGTTCCTGCCCAAAAATAGCCCTGGCTGGATCACCTGACTCCCTTCCACTAAACTGTACCCTCCGACTTCTGATAAGTCTCTTTTCAAGGGACAAAGACTTCCACCAACAGAGAATGGCTTTTTTTCTGACAGAGAGAAAAATCTTTATTTGTTGGAGGATGAATTGGTGGGAGGATGTCATAAGATCCAGCCTAATATAGCTGCTTTAAATTGTGATGTCAAATACCACAGCCTCTTTAAAAGATTGCACGTATAGGTCCTCTATAGCCCAGACTAGCCTGATTTCATCAAAAAGCATAAAGCTAAACAGGCTCAGCCCTGGTTAGTATTTGGAAGTCCAGGGTTGCTATAAATTGGCTCGGGACAAAATGAACTGAGTTCCAACTGAATTTTAAAAATGCCAGGGACACAGAGTGTTGTGAAAAAGAAGAGGGACTTCAGGTGAACATTCAACCCCCGGGAACCTCAGAGTCTTAACCAGGGCCTGTCAAAGAATCACCAACAAATTTGGGGCACCACTTCCACCAGTCACACAGACACTTGTGCCTTGTAGCTGGTCCCTGGCCACTGCCTCTGTCCTCATCTCTTTACAATTATGAAAGGCAGTGGGGAAATAGTGGCCATTTTGACAGATAAGGTGAATTTGTTAGGTGAAAAAAGGAAATGCCACCTAACAGTTGACATTAGCCTGCAGCTGGTTTTGGACTTTATACTGGCCCAATGCATATATCTTTATTTTGCAAAGAAAAGCAGTCTTTCCCTTGGGAAATCTCTTTCCCTGTTGGAAAAACTTGGCTAGAAGCAAAAAGGTTATCAGAGTTGTATTTGGGATACAAACAAGCAGGCTGCTGAGTTCTTACTGTTTCCCAACTTCTGCTGACACACTGTGGCCAAACAGATGAATTGCAGTCACTTTGATCCAAGGGCTGGAAGGAGCTGCAGTTGTGTTTAACCTGTTGCCATATATTTTAGCTAGGTAGTTAGACATTATCAAATATTATAAAAACATAAAATTAATAGGGTGAGGTTTGCCTATAAAAACACTTCTCAAATTTTTGTCAGTGTTATTTGTTATTATGGTGAAAACAAATCACAACTTAAAAGTGCATACATTAAAGAACAGTGACTTTACAGGTCTTTTATTTCACATCTCCATATCTAGAACTTCTCAGATTGAAAATGTAAGAAGCTGTAGCAGGTTGCAGTTCTGAATTCCATGTGGGTTTTTATTTTCTTCTGTATTGATTCTTCTTTGCAAAATTCAGTTTGTGCCGCAGTGTGGAAGAATCATCACAAGTGGGCAGTGACCAATTATTTCATAGTCAACCTGTCCCTGCAACTTTAGTGGTGGACAGTCAACCTGTCCCTGCAACTTTAGTGGTTCATAGTCAACCTGTTCCAGCAACTTTAGTGGTGGACAGCACCGAGACATGGTTCCTTGGGAACAGCCTCTGTAAGGTGATCCTTTATTTGCAGGTATCGTTTTTTCCAGGTTTGAGGTGTCCCTTATGTTCAGTGCAACAGAATCTGTACCTGTTAGGCACTGTAATGTAGACGTTTATTTCATTCTGAACTTAGTGCATTCTGAACTTAGTGCATTACATAAGACTTCCTATTTCAAATTGGAATCGTGCAATTTTTAAAAGGATCGTTTGTTCCACTGTGCCAAAGCTTCCATTGTCAAACATACATTAAGTACAAACTGCATTATGAAAGTACCTTAAAACAATAACCAGAAGAACAATAAAATTCAGTCCATCTGCAATAACTGAAAGGAAATGAAACATACTGAGAAGTCAAATAGATACCAGGATAGAGAGAGCTATAGCCCAACAACTGTGAACGGGGTGGAACTCATAGAACAGGACTTTCCTGCTTCCTCCTCCTGCTGCAGACCACTTGTGTCAGATGTGGGAGTCTGTCACGGGGGAGGGGCTAGAAAAACTTTCACCCATCAGCTGCTGGAAATGCCCTTAAATACATGTTACAATGTGCAACCATTAGTACAATTTTCCATAAAATCAAAACAATGATAAACTATCAGCACAAGAGTATCTTAGCTCTTCGCTACTTTTGCCTGATACAAGTAACAGGACAAAACATAGCCTCTGCTAAACATGCCAGGGTATTTTGTGATGCAGGTTCCCTTAATGATACACGTGGGAGTTTGCACAAAAAAATAGCCTGAAAAGAATGGGATAGAAGCAATGTTCCCTCTAAGCTCTGGAATCTTGTGAGCAAAAATTCTACTTTCTGAGCTACTGGCATTGAAATTGTGAGCTAGTGATTTGGCTACTACATAAATTAGTTTGCCCTGGAGCCATCCTTCCTGAGCTAAGACAAAAATGTGTGAGCCGGAGGCTAAAAAACTGTGAGCTAGCTCACACTAACTCAGCTTAGAGGGAACACTGGATAGAAGCCAACAAAGTTAAATCAAATAAAGCTGAGTTCTCAATAACAGCACATGAGGACCAAAATCTCTTTGAGGGATAGGTCTCTTCCAGTTGCAGTTAGAAGCTCATGTGAATGAAAACTGCATACCCACAGAAAGCTATCATGTTGGGGTTCTAACCTAACATAGTTTTCAATGTACAGGAAATACTTCTGAATGGAGAAACATTCAAAGTTGTGCAGTCTAAGGGGTACAATCCAGACCACTTATCTACTGTTTGGGAGAACAGTACTACCTGTGTCCAATTCCATTGCTTTCCATGAGTCTTAGTTGCCACTAACATCTGCTGGACTGGGCCCATGGAATGAGAAGTGTAATTTGATCTGAAAGAATCTCACAGCTGTCACAAATTATCTTGTTTTGTTGCCAGGAGAAAACACACAGGAGGCCGCCAAAGATATCAGCTAAAACAGCCAGATAAACCAGCTGCTTAAAAGGGGGAAGAGCAGGATTCCAAAAACTACTTCTTATCAATTTCTTATCAATTTAGAGTCTAAATAGTTAGTTAAAGTTAAAGTTAAAAGTCGGTTTTATGGCTCTTATCAAAAGATGCAACAGAGAGCGAGTACACTGCTTCATTGATCTGAAAGAATCATTAAAGACCTAAGAGAAAGATCTCTTTTGGTTACCATTTTTGACTTGATCAATCGTTTCACAATGATTCCTAGAAGCTATGGACTGGAGAAGCTTGGCTAATGTTTTGCTTTTCTTCCTGGACCATGTCAGTTTCTGTTTCTGTGCTGACACTCAGCTGCATTGCACTGGATCGATGGTATGCAACTTGTCACCCTTTGATGTTTAAAAGCATAGCCAAGCGAGCCAGGAAGAGCATTGTCATTATCTGGATTGTGTCCTGCATTATAATGATTCCCCAGGCAATTGTCATGGAGTGCAGCAGTACATTGCCGGGATTAGCCAACAAAACCGCCCCTTGTTCACTGTTTGTGAGGAGCATTGGGCAGGTGAGTGGCAGTCACCATAAGTTTGGGATTTAGTTGCCCCTGTCATTATGCAAAGATTCCTATAAAGATGTGAGATTTGTATACGGTAAACTTGAGTGGCATTAATTAAAACCATGACTTTGCAGAAATCTGTTACATTGAATTCCCTGTGCTGTCAATTCATCTACTGATTGAGAAGAACTTTTTTTAAAAAAAATCATACTTGTAACCAGCCTGGGGTCCCAGCGAGAAAGGTGGGGGCTACAAACAATAACAATAATAATATAGCATACAAACTGGAAAGGCCATTGGAATAGTTTTCTTAGGTTCTTCTTCCATTCCTTCCCAATCTGTGGATTTAGATATCAACAGGTAGGGGGCTCACTTGGGAAATTGATATATAAATATTGTCTTTAAAAGGATAGAAATCGGACAATTGATTTTATTTACTTTTTTTGCTTCTTTTCTCGTTGTCATATTCTGTTATTCTATAACTGTTATGTATTTTCATATATGTTGAATAAGCATTCTTAAAAGTTTAAATTTGAAGGGGGGAAAAGCTCACTGCATATTGATTTCATTTGAGCTTTTGCAAGTGGTCCTGGAACTATCGACCAAAGGTGAAAGCAAGTGTTCAGATCTGATGAACCACATCAGTTGAACATCTTACCACATGGAGGAAGTTTCCACGTGGTGCCGTTGAAAATGGCCCCAGCATTCCTGAGGGTGTTGCCACATTATTGATGTATCCATTAAAAAAAAACAAGCAAATTTACCCGTGCTGTCAAGAGTATTTATGTGGAGGTGATTTTCTGGCCAAATGCTTTTCTGGCCTGGGATCTTCCAGAAGACCGTAGAGTTCAATCAAAATATAATATTGAAGATTTCAGGTTGTGATATCATGTGACTTTTGCAGTTGCAGGAGACAACAGTTGCAGAATAAAGTGGTAGTGCTGCCAGCACTGGAGTGGTAAGACCCACAGGCTCAGATATTTAACTTTTATCCCATCCTCCCCGCTGCAGCAGGCTCAGGGTAGCTCACAACAGATTACAGTAAATAAAACAATTTCTTAAATAAAATTACAATAAGTTAAGTCTAAAAACAGTACATAAAGTGCTAGCAGTGGCATTGTAAAATGGCAAGAGTATGTTAAGTGCATGGTCTGGGTCTTGTCAGCGGCCTGGTGGAAGAGCTCCATTTTACAGGCCCTGTGGAACTGTAAAAGGTCCTGCAGGGCCCTGATGTCTTCTGGGAGCTCATTCCACCAGTGTGGGGCCACCACTGAGAAGGCCCTGGCCCTCGTTGCTGCAAGCCTGGCTTCTCTGGGGCCTGGAAGAACCAGGCCATTTTGGGAACCAGATCAAAGTGCTCGCTGGGGAACATATAGGTATGTAGTTCCCTGTCCATAAAGGGCTTTAAAGGTAAGTACCAGCACCTTGAACCAAATTCGGTACGCTATAGGTAGCCAGTGCAGTGCTTTCAGCGCAGGCTGGATGTGTTCCCACATAGGAAGACCCAACAACAGCCTGGCTGTTGCATTCTGCACCAGCTGCAGCTTCCAAATTTGGGACAAGGACAGCCCCATGTAGAGGGCATCACAGTAATCCAATCTTGAGGTGACCGTTGCATGGATCACTGATGCCAGGTCATTGCATTTGAGGAAGGGAACCAACTGCTTAATCAGCCAAAAATGGTAAAAGGCTGACTTCGCAGTGGCTGCTACTTGGGCCTCCATCGTAAGGGAAGCATCCAAGAGCACTCCCAAACTCCTAACCCTCAATGCTGGCACCAATGGTGCCCTGTGGAAGTTCAGGAGTGGGATTCCTACCCTCGGCCCACCCTGACTCAGATTCAATTTCAGTCGGCTCAGTCTAAGCCACCCGACCATGGCTTGCAATGCCAGGTCCAGATCTTCTGGACTGGAATCTGACTGGCCACCCAACAACGGATAGAGCTGGGTGACATCTGCATATTGGTGACACCCCAGCCCATGACTTCGGGGAATCTGGGCAGGGGGACACATGTAGATGTTAAATAACATCGAGGAAAGCACCGCCCCTTGGGGCACTCTGAAGACAAGCGGGTGCCTTTGGGACAGCTGTTCCCCTAGCATCTAGGAATGAGGAGAGCCACTGCAAGGCAGACCCCTGGATCCCAGTGTCAGTGAGGCGGTGGGTCAGTAGTTGGTGGTGAACCATGTCAAACACTGCTGACAGGTCCAACAACACCAGCACTGCCGAACTGCCTCAATCCAGATGCCCCTGAAGGTCATCCATGAGGGCATCCAGTGCTGTCTGTGTCCCATGGCAGAGGTCTAATATGGAGGCATCATCCAAAAAACCCTGTAGCTGGGCCGCCACTGCCCTCTCAATTAGTTTGCCCAAATAGGATAAATTGGAAACCAGCCAGTAGTTGGCCAACTCAGCTGGATCCAGAGATGGTTTTTTTTAAGACAGGGTGGACCACTGCCTCCTTGAGTGCCTCAGGAAACCACCCCTCCAAGAGGGACTTGTTAATAATTTCCCTTAGGGAACCTCGTAACTCATCACAGCCACCCTTAATTAGCCATGACGGGCAGGGTTCAAGGCTGCAAGTGGTCGGGCGCACAGCTAGGAGTAATTTGTCAGCCTCCTCTAGGCTGAGTGGACTGAAATAACCCAGAACTTGACAAGAAGACATGCATGGAGCCCCAAGTTCCCTTACTGTTTCAACTGTGGCAGGTAGGTCATGTTGGAGCAACAAGACTTTATCTGCAAAATGGCTCGCAAAGGCCTCATAGCCAATCTCCAGTTTCTTAACATTTAGTCTGCCCTGTGGCAGAGTAGCAATACTCCAAATTGTTCAAAATAATTGGGCTGGGTGAGAGCTTGCAGACATAATTGTAGCCGCATAATATTCAGGTTTAACAGCTTTGACTGCCATCTCATAGGATCTCATAAACATCCTATAGGATGCTCTTGTAGTTTCGTCATGAGCATGCCACCACTGCTTCTCTAGCTGTCTGAGCTCTCACTTCATCAGCCGCAGCTCCTGCGTATACCATGGAGCAAGCCTAGAGTGAGAGTGTAGAGGACGCCGGGGAGTGATCTCATCGATGGGTGCTGAGAGTCGGCTGTGCCAGTCCTTGACAAGTTCATCCAACAAGCCACCAGGGGGCATCAGATCCTGCAGGGCCATCTGGAGCCGCACTGAGTCCATTTGGCTCCGTGGGCAAGCTAAAATGCACTCGCCGCCCACACAGGGTTGGGGTGGAATGTTCACACGGGCCTTCAGGGCATAGTGGTCTGACCATGGTACTGCCATAGCACTAATTCGGTCCACTGTGACCCCCGCCACGAAGATCAGATCAAGCGAGTGCTTCGCTTGATGGGTAGGAGCCGTTACAAGTTGGGAGAGTCCAAGTGCCACCATGGACATCACTAGGCCCATCGCCTGTGTGGAAGCTGCGTCATCAGCATGGACACTGAAGTCACTCCAGTGCCCAGCCTAATACAGCCTCCAACAGGGATGACAGGCTGTTTGTCGGTGCAGTAGGTGGACAGTACACCAACCAAACAGCCAAACTCTCCCCGGCTTCCCACACAAAGCCAGTGCACGATGCCTGTGAGCTTTGGTGGCGGGAGCGCCCTGAAGGTGTAAGCCTCCTGGATGAACAGAGCCACTCCTCCCCTCCACCCCTTAGTCCGGGATTGGCGAAGGGCTGAAAACCTGGGTAGAGCCACCTGGGAATGAGCTATGGTCTCCCCGTCTCGTACCCAAGTCTTGGTCATGCACTCCAAGTCCATGTTCTGGTCCTGCAGGAAGTTGCAAAGGACCATGGTCTTATTATTTATGGACCTGGCATTACACAACACCAATGTCAGAGAGGGGTCATTATTCCTAGCCCTATTACCTACCACCTTTGGGATGGGACACAGGCAGGAATATTTATCTCTATTATAATAACCCATGAATTGCTTTAGAAAGATTTTCTTATATTTTCCAACAGAGGATGCCAAAGACAAAGATGGACTGGAGTAATTCTGCATAGGATTACACTGTAACTGTCCTATTAGAAACCTGACACCATGGTTTATGTTTCACCCTTCCCAGAGTGGTAAAAGTGTTGGAAGACTCTTTTCACATGTGCCAGCCAGCTCTTGATTGAGAATTCAAGCTCACCTTTTCTCCATGGATGAGTGTTCGATCCAATTTGCTTTAAAAAATTTGCTTAGAGCTTTTTTAAAAAAAAAAAGATGAAAATTTCTTGATATGTCAGGGCTCCCATAAATGGATTCGAGGAAGTTATTTTATAAGGAAAGCGAAGTCTTTAGACTTTTTCCAGTGCAATGCTTTTCAGGTTCCTTGAGAGGAAGTCATGACAGTCATACAGGTTTATGATGGTAATGACTCTCACAGTACAATCCTAAACAGAGTTACACCCTTCTAAGTTTGTCGAAGTCAATGGGCATAGAAGGGTATAACTCTGCTTAGGATCGCACTGTTTGTCCCAGTTTGGATGCATTGCGACACCAAAATAATTGCCTGTGAAGCCACATGGGGCCAACAGCAGGACTGCAATTTTATCGGTATTGTACGAACATGCCCATTGCATAAACTGATGTGTCCTTGTGGGGGTGCACAGGCAGTGGCCATGATTTTCTATCACAGCATCTCCCACCTCCAAGGACCCTACAACCATGGACACCACAGCCACTGCATACACTGATGCCACCAAATGATCTTTCACTCAACCATGAGTCCACTACCAACATCATATATCCACAGAACCCTTGGAGGCTTCTGACTTTCTGAATTAGCCCTGTAAGGATAAAAGAATGTACACTGCTCATTGACACCCTTCTAAAACTGTCACTCAGTTCATGGTTGCACTGTTAATCTGGGTATTGAAGACCCACCTGATGTTTCTTCTCAGCATCCCACATCTAAGAGCTGGACAGTTTTGATGAAAGACGCCTCCAGCTCCTTCACTGTTCCCATCTTGTCAGCAACTTGTAATTACTGCTACATGGGAGAAGTCTCTTGTTTTTGCTTAAAGGGCAAGGATTCCTAAACTACTGTTATGCAAAGTATGTGTGCTGGGTTTTCTCTGAAGTCTCAGATCCTATGCTTACCCACTCTGAGGCCACTTCAAAGGAAAATGTACCTTCTCCTTCCACCATGATCTCTCAACAACCTGTGCACAGCTTGGCACCATCTATATTTTTGTCTCTTAAAAAAAAAACCCTTCTTAAATTGTGAAATTAGAAGCTGTAAACCTCTGAAGGTTGTGGAAATATATGCTGCAATTATACTTGCACTCCTAAAGGTCACTGCTCAGGCAGGATGAGATTTCTTAGTTCTTCCACTGGCCTACCGGGAGCTCAAATATTTCAAATAATTGTAGTTTCCCCTGAAGTAAAATGTTCACTTACAGTCATGTTCTTTCTTGTGGCAGTGTTGTTGAGGTTTTGTACTTTGGAGCCCAAGAGAGTTAACATAATCTCCTTATGTATTATGTACACTGTGTGCTAAGAGAAAGATTACTCCTTCTGATCTGTTTTATGAGAATTATACAGATTAACTTGTAAGAGTTTACAGTTGCAGTAGACACTGAATTGGAACCCACCCACAACCATCAGCAGGGAAAAAGAAGCTGCTAATATTGCTCCACAGACTCTTGCCCAAGAGCTTGAAGGAGAATGTGTGAAGCGCTTTAAGAGATGGGGTTCTGATAGCCAGCTTCTGGTTATTTCCCACCTATTTTGATTCCTCTACTTACTCCTCAGTTTCTGCCCTGGGCCTCATATTTCCCAGTTCTCCCAACTGGCAGAATTCTCCCAAGATTCTCTGGTCCTCCAGATTCTGACAATTCTCCAGTACCTTAGCTTTGCCCTCTGGCCTCACTGTCTGACACAGGACAGTGAGAGGAGATAATTTGATCCTTCTGGGGAGATATCTTAGATGATCAGTAGACTAGTTCTCATGACTGAGAACGAATTGTTATCTCCCTGTGCCAAGCAGATACATATCAAGCAGATATATATTTTACTTAGGTCATATTGTACCATGACCCAAAGCATATTGTGCACAACACAATTGACTGTGGATGCACAACACTGCTTGAGCAGAATGGCAGTGCCTTCCAGCTACTTCAAAGTTAGTGGGTCATTGTTGCCTGATGATTGTAATTCTGGGTGATACGGGTTAAAAATGTGGGGGCAGCCAACCAGTTATGCTGTGCTATGTTCATAGCATTTATTTTTGTGGCAACAATAAATAACCACTAACAATGACAACTGAGCACAGGGGGATGCTATATACTGTATTGACTCAAATACACAACTAGCCCCCCCCCCAGGTATGCTATAAAAAGTGGGGATCATCTTACATTCACTTAGCATACAGTTGTGATTTTAATGTTGTATATGCCATTAAAGGTCTATTGATTGATTGATTGATTGATTGATTGGCATATAGTTGTGTGTGTGTATGTGTATCATAGTAATAAGTTTTGTATGTGTGTATCATAGTTAGGGGGAGGATCTGCTTACATTCAGTAAATATAGTACAGATATAACTGATGTGCTTTTGATTTTCTTTGCAGCTGAAGTCTATCCAAAGCTGTACCACACATGTTTTTTCCTAATAACGTACATGCCCCCACTGTGTCTTATGGTGTTGGCCTATTTGCAGATATTTCACAAATTATGGTGTCGACAGGTAAGCTATTGCATAACTCAAGGCATACAAAACATCTGGTCTTGCTGTCCATTTCATGAAGCCTCTTATTCCCCAAAAGAACTATTTCAGATTCAGAATGTAGTGTAGGTTAATGATGTACAACAGAGATGAAATATTTCATACAAAATTAATACCATTCTATACAGAACCATCAAAGTCCATGAATTAATGTAGCCAAGATCATTATAATAAGTGCACTTCAATCCACATGCTCTTACCTAGCATATTTGATGCAGAAATGTAATGATACCTGATAAGAGTGGGTTATTTCCTTCAATATTTCATTAGTGTTTTGAGTCAAGGGGTAATAAAAGTAAACTGAACAATCACCTAGAAACAAGAGATAAAAGTGTTGGAAACATTTCGGAACCATTTGCATTGTACTTTATACAACATATATATTGTGTGATTTGCTTATATACTATTTCGGTAGAAACAAGTTGGTTAACAGGAGGTATTACTACTTCCACATGGAAGATAGCACATGTTTCAAGTGTAGCTGCCAAAGTGAACAAGATATTATGGAGACTTAATTCTGCAAGCCTGCTTGGCATCAGTTACCTATTGATTTGGCTCTTTTGAAATGTCAATGGCATTGACAGGGGTCGGTCTTCTGCCATTGGTTTTAGAGCCACAAGAATTCATTTTCTTGCTCCACCCCCATGGTATTCAAACTCATTAAGAGAACTTTCTGTTCATTAGTTAACTCTTACATTTGTGGAACTTAATTTCCAATGTATATGACATATGATAGTTTCCAAGTCTCAGGAAGATAACCTTTAGAAACCAACATGTGACTCTGACTGGTTTAAAGCTGCATTTCCTGGGAGGTAGTGTGTCCTTAAATATTGCCTCTTATAAGTTTCTTCAAGTGAATATCTTAGATATGATGCACCAGTGCAGCTTATAAACTGCGGCATCAGTCTAATGTGGCAAGCCAACCAAGGATCTAGGGTTTCCATGCTTGAAATCATAGAATCATAGAGTTCCAAGGGACCTCCAGGTTCATCTAGTCCAACCCCCTGCACAATGCAGGAAATTCACAAATACCTCCCCCTCCACACCCTCAGTGACCGCTGTCCCATGCCCAGAAGATGACAAAAACCCTCCAGGATCCATGGGCAAACTGACCTGGAGAAAAATTGCTTCCTGACCCCAAAGTGGCGATCAGCATTTCCCTGGGCATGTAAGAAAGGGCCACAAGAACTAAGCACTGAGGCAACCCTTCCTGCCCTCCCTCTCATGATCTGCCGAAGTTCACAGAATCATTGAATACAGTGTCACAGAAAGCTGTTTCATAGCATCAAAATGGTTCATCATACCAACATATTTATGGATTTTCTTCCCAGGGTTGCCAGCTCTGGGTTGGAAAATACCTGGAGATTTTGGGGACGGAGTCTAAGGAGGGCAGGTTTTGGGGAGGAGAACCTCAGCAGGGTGTCATGCCATAGAGACCACCTTCCCAAGCGGCCATTTTCTCTGGCTGAACTGGTCTCTGTAGTCTGGAGATCAATTGTAATAGCAAGAGATCTCTAGCTACCACCTGGAGGTTGGCAACCCTATTACCTCTCCAGGCCTCACTTAATTCTAACAAATGTGACTTCAGGTTCCGAACTGAAGATGCATGAACAAAATGACAATGATTGTAGCAGTAGATGGTTCATTTGCATTGAAATCAATGAGGTTTTTAATAATAATGTATCTGCTTTGTAGCTTCAGCTGGCCAATCAGTATAATGAGTCTTCCCTTGGGGCAGACAGCAATAATTAAGTTTCCAATTACTATGCTCTGTTAGATTCCAGGGACCTCAGCCGCAGTTCAGAGAAAATGGAAGCCTCTGCAGTCTACAGCACAGACCCCTGGGCTAAGGCCATCAGCAAAGCTGAGGATTAGTGGAGTGGCAGCTGAAATCAAACAGATTTGAGCCAGGCAGAAAACAGCACATATGCTAATGGTCGTTCTTCTGGTTTTTGCTCTTTGTTATCTGCCAATTAGCATTCTCAATGTACTGAAAAGGTAAACTTCATTCACATATAGCAGTAGCTAGATTGTGGGATTTTTCTAGTTTAAGGTAACTGGCTGCATTATTAGGGATGGTATTGAATCTGACACCTTCAGGTGAAATAACCAAGAAAGTGAGATTCCATTTGCAAATGTAAATTAGTTGAATAAGCATCTAGATATGGTGATGTAGCAGTAAAATGGTAGTAGTGGCAACAGAAGAAAAGGCATGTGGTTGTAGCAACAGCATTAAATAGCTGATAAATACTTAACTTCTGGGAAACAGAGGTATCCAACTACTCACCTGGAATTCCCCTTGATCAGGGCTGTTTCTAGAGGATGTAAAAGCTGGGCATTTTTCTGGGCCCCAAGACCATCCAAAAAGGCAGAGTGAGAGAACCCCTGCCCTGCATGGCCTACCAGTTTAAGGGGACCCACGGAGGATGTCTTGTACAAGGGCTCCTGAATGCCAAAGGAATAAATGAACAGGTAACATACATAAGATTGCAGCTGTTTAGCACAGTCTATAGGACTGCTCATCATTGGGTTGCCAGGTGCACAGCTGGAAGCCCCAGGAGATTTTGGGGGTAAGGCACGGGGAAAACATAGTGTTCATGTCACAACAATGTTTAAAACCCAGAAGTGAGTTCACTGACACTCTAAGATTTCTTTGATCTCTATGGATTTGTGAAATTCTAGAGTGTCAGTGACATCACTTCTGGGTTTTAGCCAGAGATTATATTGACAATGTTTTTTTTTTACCTTGGTTATTGCTCATTATTTCTGCTTTTTAAAGGATCTCAAGTAGCAAGGCTGGGAAAAGGCTGTCTCTCAGATCCTACTAGTAGTAGAACATATCAGTCTGCAAGGTCCAGTGAACTAACACCACATAAAACAACATTGTCTTTTTGTCATTTCCAGTAAAATTAGCACCACAAAGCTGCAAGTCTGCTTTTTGGTGGTGTGGTGTTACAATACACGTTCCTGGAAATGGCATAGTACATAAATATATGAAACTGAACACGGGCTTGAATCCCCCAGTAATTTTTGCAGGCTGCAGGATTTTTGTGTGTATTTTATGTGTTTTATTGTGTTTTGTTATTGATTTTGTTATTGATTGTGTTTCATTATTGATTGTGTTTTGTTATTCTTTACAAAGTAAACAAAACACAATAAAATACATATAAACCACTAGTTTAAAAATAAATAATTTTAAACTGCCACTAACCAGAAGAACTGAACTAATCAAATGTCATCCTGAATATGTCCTCATGCACCAGCTATGGCCCCAGAGGTTCGTTCCCCGGCGGCAGCAGATCGGGCCCTAGGGGGAACCCCACCCCGACGTGCACATCACCTGGAAGTGACGCGACCACACCGGGCACGCTGGGGGCAGGGCCACGGTCATCCAAGGGAAAACCCTATGGTTTTCCCTTGGATGGTTGTAGCCCCGCCCCCAGAGTGCCTGGCGTGGTCACGTCACTTCCGGGTGACGTGCGTGCAGCACATGCTCCAGCCGTGAGCCGGGAGTCCCCCGCTGCAGCAAAAAAAGAACTTGGCAACCCTATCTGTTGGCTATCCCACCACTAAGGGTGGCCTAACTGGCACTGACCAGGCACTGACCAGGCATGGGCCTTTTCCATCATGGTTTCCAGTCCAGGACTCCCTGAAGAGGTGAGAGGGGGTGCCCTCCTTGGAGATCTTCAGGAGGTGCTGCAAGGCCTGTCTGTTTGCCAGAGCTTTTAAGGGGGTTTGACTAGCAGGCATCCTTTAAGGGGGAAGGGGGGTGGGATTTGGAACGCTGTTTTACCTTTGGTTTTAGCTGAGTATGTTTTCACTATTATTGTGAGCTGCCTTGAACCAAGAGGAAACATGGGATATAAACGTTTTGATGAATAAATAAACAAAACTGTCTTCAGCGGCCCAATAGAGATCAAGAGCTTGGGGGCCAGGTGCACCTCCCTGGGAAGGTTGTTCCATAATTATGGAGCTGCTGCTGAAAAGGCCTTCTCTTGCATTCCCACCAGACAAGCTACTTTGATTGATGGGACAGTCAAGAGGGCCTCTCCCTGGCATCTTTGCTCCCAGCCAGGAATGTATGGGAGAGGACAGTTCTTCAGGTATCATTTTCCCAAGCTATGTGGGGCTTTAAAGGTGAAAACCAACACCTTGAATTGGACTTGGGAGCAGATTGAAGCCAGTGTAATTGCTGTAACAATGAAGTAATATGAACCCAGTAACTGACCCCGACCAGCAGTCTAGCTGCAGCATTCTGCACTAGCTGCAGCCTCTGAACACCAACCTCCCAGATAGGACTAGAAACACCATAACACTGTGCCCCTCAGTCACAATGCTGAGAGCAGGATGCCATGGTCAATAGCCTTGAAGGCTGCGGAAAAATCCAGCCGATACTCCCCTGGAGCTGAGAAGTGGCCATCTACTCTAGCACCTTGTCCAAGAATGGAAGATTGGAGATTGGCCAGAATTTTTCCAACATGGCAGGGATCAGGGAGAGTCTTTTCAGCCTGGGTCTAATCACTGCCTCCTTGCGCACAGGTGGCACAGCTCCCACCCTCAAGGAAACATTACTTCTCTCCTTACCAACTGAGCCAGCCTCCTTCTGGCAGCTTTTATCAAGTCGGTAGGCATCACCATCACTTTGTCAAGGACAAAGGCAGAAGGCATCACCATTTCAAGGATCCTTTCCACATCCTCTGGTGCCTCAAGCAGAAAGGAGTCCAAAGCTGAACCCCGTTGTACACAAGTAACCAATATTTTCTTTATTTTATCAACATTTTATGGAGTTTTATTTATTTCTGTCAAAAGAAAGATTTATTCTACTGACAACACAATGCTCTAATGTCATACAGCAGCAAAACATGAAGGTCGAATCTGCATTTGTCTTTCCCACCAGTGTCCCAGCCTTCTGACACCGTCTTTTAAAAAGCTGTCTACATTTGGTGTCGTTTTCACACCTCAACAGTGCTAGCATACTTTTGCATGTCCGCATATGTTTATTGCCCTTTCGTGGTGGCTCCACTGTCACTGCACCTCTGCATTGCTTTAAAAGAATCTTCTCCAAACAACGTTCAAACAAGCATAGAGAAAGACGGTGTCACAGCAGCACGAAACTGATTTAAAAATGCAAATGCAGATTCGACCAAAAACTAGCTTAACTATCTAGGACATTTCAAGACTTGCATTAGATGGCACAAACCTTAAGTCCAAGAGTCAAAGGCCACAACTGATGCCTTCTCTACGTTGCTATCTATTTTAATAGAAGCATATCATAGTCCAGGTCTTCAGTTCATCAGAATCCAAGTTAGCCTTCTTTTCCAGGTTCTTACCTCAGTTGTAGTTTTTTGGCCAAGCAGCGTCAAGTGATGATGACAGCCAATCATCACACAGTCTTGCTGGAACCCTCTAGAAAATTACCTCATCACTCCTGACCTCCTCCTCCCACCCTGTGGGCCCCAGGTCTTCAAGAGAAGCTAATTACCACTGTTCCAGCTCTGGCCTAATCTACCACCTCACAAACCTCATGAACTGAACCAGGTTGTTTGCCCCATAAAAGTTTATGATGGTTCAAGGTTTGCAAAGATGATAAGGGCTATGAAAGCTGAGAGATCAATTAGTAACACCAGCAGGATGGAACACGCCCGTTACCATTCATATTAACCTTTGAGGGGGCAGCCAGAGGTGCTTTGCCTCACAGGTATCCATATAAAATAGACAAGCAGGTGCCAAAAGTATATCATCTGAACATGCATCCACACCAACATCTCACTCAGAGTAGATGTAAGAGATTGTGTTTGCAAAGTAATAAGCAAATTGATCACAGTGGGCCATCATGTAGTCAGAGTCCAGTTCCCTGGAGTTATGATATAAATGCCCCTGGACCACATGGAATAGTTCTGCTTAACGACTCCACGCAGACTCCACGGTGATGGAGAAATAGTGCCCTTTTGCCACCATCACAGCCATGGAAGAGGCTCTAATATGGGCTCTATGCCATGTCCAGTCAGCCTTCCTTTGACATTTCCACCAGCCTTGCTCTAGCCATCATCCCTCCTGTTTCATTGCCATCAGTTCTTCTGTGCATGCTAAGGTGTACAGAGCCCTAGCTTGATCAAATCCCAGGGGATGCATATAAAAGATCTTTTCCTGCCTTGATAAGAAACATTGAAGTTTCTACATGGTGCACTTGTGACATGCATATAAATTGTTAGAAATTCTCAAAATAAAACTTTCACTTTATTTTATTCTCTGTTTTATTTTCTTGTAAGGGTCTTTGGGATGTTTAACAATGCTGATGACAAAGAAACAGTGTATGCCTGGTTTACATTTTCCCACTGGTTTGTATATGCAAATAGTGCAGCAAATGCAATCATTTATAACTTTCTCAGTGGTAAGTTGATTAGTATGCTTCCTGTTAAACCAGTACAATCAATTTCTCAGCAAACTTTTAAAACTGCAAATGTACTTTATGTGTTTTTGCAAGCGCTAATGAGTTTTTATAATTATTTCCATTACATAGAGTCAGGATCAGCAGCTAAGGCTGTGGTCACATGGCAAGCTTCTCCCGGTTTATTCTTGCAATAGATTTGATCGGGAATATTTTTTTCCACATTGGGATGTTCACATATCCCTCCCCAACCGCTTGCATCGCGCAGTGCACCGTCCAGATAGCTGCGCTGCTCAAGCGGCGGTAGTGGAGAGCAGGGCACTCACACCCTAGGCTCCCAACTGAAAGCAAGCCTCAAGGAACCCCCACCTCTGCTTCCCCCCCCCGCTGCTTCTGGTGCTGTGTTCCCGGCTGGGTCTTTGTGGGGGAGGGGAGAGTCAGATCGGGACCTCCAGGCAAGGCTCCTCACCTTGCTGCCAAGTCCTCCGGCATGGCTTCTCATCTCCCTGCCTGCTGGGATGACACATGGCTTCCCGGGCTGCCCTCCCTTGCTCGCAGGGGTCCAGTGGAGGAACTTGGGCTGCCGGCATTATTTACACGCGGTCCTATGCAGCCCAGCCAGCAGCAGATTAATCACCAGCCCCAGAGAGAGCGGGAGAGGGACTCTCCTCCCCACCCCCACGAAAGAGTCGGCTTCTCTGCCCCCTTCCTGGCACCAAAGGGGGTGGAAAGCAGGGGTTGGTGAAAGTACACAGGATTGGGGAGGGGGGACAGAGATGGAAGCCGGCTCGCTGGAAATCCAAGAAACACAGGAACCGATGCGGGGGGGCAGGAGAGAGAGAGAGAGGAGAGGAAAAAGTTGTGCGCTTCAGTGCCAGATTGCACATGCGCTCAAAGGAGGAAGTAAAAAAAACACAACTCATTGTGGCGAAAGACAGTGAGACAACCTAATCACAATCATTGCGGGAGAGATGGCTGTCCAGATAGGCAAAATCGCAGATTTAAAGCGCAAGTACCCGGAAAATACTTGATTTTCCAGGTGCAGGAAAATGCGGCAACACGAACATTGTGCAAGTGAGCCTGCTTTGGGGCGGGAGGCGGATTGGCCTGTCTGATCACCAAATTTAAATGTGAGACGGAACAGCAATTAATTCCGATCAAAACAACCTAAGAGAGAATGGGTTGCTCAACTATTTAGTAAGTTAATCAAGGACCTGAATACACATTTCCAGGAATTTTTTATACATGAGAAAAAAACCCCCTCAACAATATACATCCATATCTGGATGTGGTCAGAGGACCAAAGTACACATTATGCCAGGAGATCCAGGAGATGGGCAAGAAGGTACAATTTGAGGGCAAAGTGGCACAAGAATTGGGTGTGTTTGACCCAGTATTCTTTAACTTGGTGCTGTGGCATCCACACCCTGGGGCCCACTTCCTTCTTCCCCAAAGCAAAGAGCCAGTTCCAGGGTTTCTCCAATTAGTTGGAAAAGGAGGTGCTTCATAAGAGCCCAGGTGGCATCACCTTTGTGTCTTCAGGGGGCACCCACAACATAAGAACATAAGAGATGCCAATGTTGGATCAGGCCAAAGGCCCATCCAGTCCAACACTCTGTATCACACAGTGGCCAGAAATACCAGTGCCATCAGGAGGTCCACCAGTGGGGCCAGGACATTAGAAGCCCTCCCACTGTTCACCCCCCCCAAGCACCAAGATGACAGAGCATCACTTGCAAATAGCCACTGATGGACCTCTGCTCCATATGCTTATCTAATTCCCTTTTGAAGCTGTCCATGCTTGTAGCCACCACAACTTCCTGTGGCAGTGAATTCCAAGTGTTAATCACTCTTTGGGTGAAGAAGTACTTCCTTTTATCTGTTCTAACCTGACCGCTCAGCAATTTCATGGAGTGCCCACGAGTTCTTGTATTGTGAGAAAGGGAGAAAAGTACCTCTTTCTCTACCTGCTCTTTCCCATGCATAATCTTATAAACCTCAATCATGTCACCCCTCAGTCGTCGTTTCTCCAAGCTAAAGAGCCCTAAGCGCCTTAACCTTTCCTCATAGGGAAAGTGTTCCGACCCTTTTATCATTCGAGTTGCCCTTTTCTGCACTTTTTCCAAAGCTATAATATCCTTTTTAAGGTGTGGTGACCAGAATTGCACACAGTATTCGAAATAGCTGCCTTCATCATACAGTGACACTTGGCTTTGAACTCACAAAATTGTGTGATTGTTCTCAGTCTCATTGGTCTCATGGTACCAATGACAGCTATTTTGTGTAGTCACACCCTCATGGCAGCTATTTTGCGGTGGTGCCCACTAATTATTTTCAAAATTCCACAAGCGATAACAAGCTCAACAAGGCTGGGTGGGGACTTCTAGTAACTCTT